TTTTATATACTGTACCCACTTAAATTAATTAAACTCTGACACCGTTTGAGATAAAGGTATATTATTCCCTATAATGCACAATGCTTGTTTTTTCAGATTATGCCTTTACTGTTTTTATATATAGCACTGAAACCATATTTTTCAAATGTTTTATATACTGTACCCACTTAAATTAATTAAACTCTGACACAGTTTGAGATAAAGGTATCAAACCAACTGTAAAATATCTGGAAAACCAAGACTTGTGCATTATAAGGAATAATATTCTGAAAATGCCTAGGATAATATCTGTTGTCAGACTGAAATACATGATGGCAAGTTTTAATAATTTTTTGTCCTATACTGTTATTTTGTTAAGTAGATTTTATAATGCATGTAATGTTTATCTCAGTTTTCTCTCAGCCAACAAGACAGCTTACCATGTCACAAGAACCTCCATCAGCGATATTTGACAGTTTTCAATACAATTTCAAGAGCCAGACAATAGCTTTCAAATAACAATAATGATGACCTACTTTCTTGATAGACGCCTTTTCAAGTGTCAGGTGCATCAACTTCGCAGTAAGTTGGGGTGTGCTATGTTAGTAATTAACAGTGACTATGATATTAGTTAACTATCAGTGCTCATGATTTTAGTTAACTGTGTATTTCTGTATGTATGCCAAGAAAACCTGGAGGCAGGAAAATGCTGTCTGGCAGACCCACCTTTTCCTCCTCAATGGCCCAAATATTGAGGTTTTACCCTCTACAACAGAGCTTGAACGGTTTGCAAACTTGGGTTTAGGTAAATGTATAGTTGATACATAAGGATGTCAAAGGTAAAACAGGGGTTTTCCTGGGCTAAAAAGAGCTACTGGGCTAGCAATTCCAAAATATAAGGAAAGAAACCATTTGTAATAATAATTTATTCTTAAAATTATTAAGCTGTTTATTACTTCAATTCAGCGTGAGGTACACAAAGGCATTGTGTTCATGCACTCAACAGATATGTCCGTGAATGTCTACAAATCTTAATGCGGCATTTGAAACCAGTCAGCTATTAAAAGGGACAATGATTAATATTGATAAATATTTTTAATGCAGGAAAAACTCTATAGCAGCAAATGTTTTTATTGTTGATAGTGATCTGCATTTTACATAACCTCAGGTATTGCATACAGTGTATGATCAATTGATGAGCTCTGTGCAGATATTTTGATTTATGTTGTTAATATGTACATTCAATTTTGTAGGTAGACCAGTGCAGGAAACATCTGGGACAGGAACCCAAAGATCAAAAATTCCACTAAATTGGACTCTGTCTGAATTAAATAACTTTGTCTGCCCAAATGTGAGTTTGAACTTGATAGGTTTACATTTGGCAAGAGCAGGCAAAGGATGCAAGATCCAAAAAGTTCATGTAAATTCTATGAGGGATTTTAAAAAAGCAGTTGGCAAAAGCAGGCTCTAAATTGTCCCACGAGCTGAAGTTTTGCAGGTATGTCTTTGCAAAACAAAGGCACAATATTCAAATGAAAGAGCCATTTCTTTATGATATGACAAGTATAATTGGCTTTTAATTTAACCTTAATGTAAATTTAAAAGGTTAAATTTTAGTTCACATTCTTTGCTTTCAGTTAAATCTTACTGTGATGTTTCTGCACAGCGCACATGTTTATGTTAGGTGACAGTACAAATAAATTTACAGTGCAGTGAGCCAACGTATTCTTTGCTATTGTTACACACTGAGTTTGAGAGTTTTTGTCTACTCCCAGGTAATGACACCATTACCATGAACCATAACTCATACCAACTATCCTACTCTGCTGCAGCACTGGATGAAACTTCATTGGATGCAGAGACTGCAGAATCTGTAAATTTGGATGTGAGTGAAGTTAGTTTAGATGTTGTGGAGAAGTATTTAAGTTGTGTCGGTTGTAACCAGTAATGATTTGTGACTTGTGGTTTTACTTTATTCCCTAAATAAACCTGCGAGCAGTACGTTCCAAGCAAGACGAAGAATATAATGCTTCCTTGTTGGCAGACCAAGAAAAGGTCATTAAAAAAAAAAATCATTCTATGCTTGCCAAGTTTAATTTGAGGAAAAACAAAAATGAGTCTTAAAAATATTTTGGTATTTACAGGACAGGAGGAGGCACTGCTATGAGGTTTTGGAAGAAAGATGGACAAAGGTTGGTGCTGCCACTCAATTTAATTTTTATTTAAAGTGTTTTTCTAGTGTGAAAGTTTTTTTTTTTAGGCCATTGAGGAAAGACGTCAGCGAATGGCTACCCTTGTGGAACCCCTAGATGGAGATGTAAACAAGAGGAAATTCATCATGTCTGAGCCAATTCAGGTAAGAAGTTCTGTGTGAAGGAGAACCAAGGGTTTTGTCATTGGTTTATGTAGTCTGTGTTCCTTATTTTCCTTGTTTTAATTGACAGTTGCCATCTTGGGTCTTGTATTTTCAGGTCCTGTTTGATTTTATTGGACAAGATGAAATGGCCAGTGAAGTTTTTAAGGTCAGGGAAGCTGCATCTTCAAAAGATGTTGAGAGCACTTCTGCTGGGTCAATTGCAGATCATGGCATAAAACCATCCTCTACTTTGTATGTCCTTTGGATGTCAGCTTTGGATAATCTGGTAAGTTAACATAGCAGTTTTACTAGAACAAAAGGTCTTTTTCATCATGATTTTCATTTGACCATATGCAGTGTTTTAGTTTTTGCCCTGACAGCATCATTTACTAGTTAAAAATGTTAAGGATTGATTCAATGTTATTATCAAAAGGTTTGGGTATAGGGTTATTTCTGCCCTGCAAACTATTTTCTTTTGATGAAATTTAAATTGTGCATCACTTCTATGTTATCTGGCTGGTAATGACACCAATGAGCACAGGTCAGGGAGACCTTGATACTGCTCCGTTGGGCCCTTGAAGAATTAGAACTTAAACACACTTGTCAGACAGACACATGCTTAATTAAGAACTGATAACATGGGCCATATTGAAATAATAACAAAAAATATATAAATTGTTGTGCTAAAACACCTTGTCACCTATGAAGTCAGAGGCCACACTGACAGGTGGTTGAGCATTATTAGGGTTTGTTTATACATGTTATTGCCTGCCTGTTTTTTGTCAACAGCTGGACAGTTTTTCAAAATGAAAATCATTTGAAATTGATATTTGTACCCTAGCCTTAGTGATTAAATCATGATTTTTTTCATTGTTGTATTTTTGTCCTTTTCATTTCAGGAAATACATTGTGACCCGGTAAACTTTACCCAGCCTTTAGTAGCTCCTCCCTTTGCTCAGTCTTCAATGGCTCTGTCCTCAGTCCAGGCTGCCGTTGCTCCACCCTCTGCCCAGCCTCTAGTGGCTCCGCCCTCTGTCCAGCCTCTAGTGGCTCTGCCCTGTGTCCACACTCTAGTGGCTCCGCCCTCTGCCCAGCCTCTAGTGGCTCCGCCCTCTGTCCACCCTCTAGTGGCTCTGCCCTCTGTTCACCCTCTAGTGGCTCTGCCCTCTGCCCAGCCTCCTGTTGTTCCTCCCTTTGCCCCGACTCTAGTTGCTCTAGCCTCTGACCAGGAATCAGACATTTTCCTTGAAGACCAGTCACCCCTTAGTCCTCTATCTCCCCAGTCATCAGTCATTGATCTTACAGATCAAGAGAGGTCTGTTTCCCCTACTCTTTCCCACCAGGATTCCCCTCTTCACTATGTGGCACCTATAGATGAGTGTGTTCCTATAAGTCACTAGTAATTCTTAAAAAATATTTTTATGCATTTTTTTTATGCAAAGGACTTCAGTTGCATCCACTCTGTAGTGTCTGGACCACTCAAACACACAATATATATTTTGTTAGCTAGATTTAACAAATACTCTGTAACACCCCAGGAAGCCGAACAGGCCCCTGGTTCCATGGCAACCCTGACACCCGATACATTTACGACCTCCTGGAATTTAGGTGAGAAAATCCACAAGGGAAGGACTTTTCTTTGCTAATTAATTAATAGGAAAACCTTTCTTTGAATGAACACACATGATCCTTCAGGTCATTGGGTATATTATTGTCATCGTGTATTTTGTCTTTGAAATTGTATACTGTTATGCAGGCTTATAATCGAAACACACTCCTGTCAGCTTACATATATATAACTCTACCATGTTTAGTATCTATGAATTCGTATTCGGATGATCTAATTGAATTTATTTTTTTTATTTCAATTTTTAAAAATGTACTTTCCCTTTTAATTTCCTACAGCTCTTAGGACCCCTTTTTATTTTAATTTTAGTTTGTTGTGTTTTACTTTTACCTTATTTTAGTTATTTCACCATCACCATCTTCGCTTTTTGTATAGGATTACAGTAGTTCTAGCAACTGTTGTTTCCTTAACGAGTTATACAGGTTATTAGTAGCCTAATCCCTGTTTCCTCTCTACTTCTCCTCACGCCTCAGTGCCAGGCCTAATACATTGAAGGGCAGCCACCATTCAACACAATGTAGGCCAAGATAGAACTAGGAACAATTCCCACTGTTTCTTTTTCTTTTGACGAGGTATTTGGTGGGTCCCTGCTAGTTTAGCTAACAGACTAACCCTAGGTTTATGAAGTCTATTACAGCATCACCCACAAGTGACACCTGCTTAGCCATATCTCTTAGGGAAAAAAACTAAAATAGGTATTTTACTTATAATACTTAAAATACTTATTTTATTTCAGTTTCGTCATAGTGACCAAACCTGTGAACCATCAGTGTTTTAAGTAATAGTTTGACTACATGTATAGCCCGGTCATCAGCTGACCCCTGCTTACGGCCCCCTCAACAAAGTTACTCAAACTCTCTCTTTGTGTTCAAATTTAAACAGTCCTACCGACTGCGCATAGACTTAAGCAAAAGACAGCCGGCTGAACATCACGTCGCCAGCAGTGCAAGCCCTCCACGCCTGTGCACAGCTACGAAAGGGGGGAAAGGGAGCCAAAGCCTTCTGCTTGACACTTCACAAGTCAGCTCCCTGAAAACCTCTGCAGCTGCAGAAGCAAAAAAAAAAAAGGTCTACTCAGACCTTATTGTTCCCTTTAAGAAGCACTGTTACGTCAAATACATGTTTGAGATGTGCATTCGTTCCAAAAGAAAACTCATTGTTTTTCATTATGCATATGCATTTACTGTTACATGACACAAATTTTTACAGTTCAAGTCTTGTTTCATTTTTGTCCACTTGTTTTTCATTTAAACTTTGTTCAATGTCGTTGACTACTGAAAGTATGAAATGTTCAAGAAACACATGACAGAAGGAACTGTGCAGAGCCCAGGTTTTGGTGTTGCCTGAACTAGTTTAAATCTAGACTAGAGCAGTTAAAACAAAAAAAGAGAAATTAGTCATGGTTTACACAGACATAATGGAGATCTGCTACATTACTTAATTTTTTAGTTTGTTCAGGTCTTCATTTTTGTCCACTTGTTTTTCATTTGAACTGTTCAATGTATGTGACTACTGAAAGCATCAACTTAATGTTCAACAGACTGTTGCCATGTTACAGTTAAAATCACATTAAAATGTTAAAAAAGAAAGAGTCTGCAACACTAATTTAGCAAAACATTAGCAATTTCTGCACAACACACCTGAAACTTCATCTTCAAATCTGTAATATTGGCAGGAGCATGGGAAACAGTTTCCATTTGCTGCTTAGTAAGGCTTATTTAAGGCTGCTCTACAGTTACAGTTGGGATCTCTTCATTTTCAGCTGTGGGCAAAGACTCTATGCCATGTTGAGCCAGGAGTTCATGTAAATTTTCAGGCCTAAATGTGCAATTCGCTGTGCATTTCTTGAGCAATTATCAATCACACGAAGTTCTCTCTCACCACAACTTCCCTGACGTTGAGCTCTTTCAATTTCTTCACATTTTCTTGCGATTTTGTCGAGAACCGTAGCCGCCATGGTTTCCCAACCACAGAAAATAAATTGTATGTCGACAAAAGCTCTGGTGTGGGGGGGAGGAGCTGAGTAAATTTATTCTCACGTCACACAACAGCAGGAGCATGTACAATTCAGATATCTTAAAATATAATTGTGACTAGTCGAAATTGAATTAGAGATATCTCTAATTATATTTGCATATGTGTGACGCATCTATTGAAGATATCTGTGACATAATTACAGATATCTTAAATGTTAAGAGTTTTGACTAGTCAAATCATTTCTTACTACTGCAATTATAATTGCAGATATCTCTAATTATGATTGTGACTAGTTGAATTATAATTATGACTCGTCAAAATACAATTGTTCCTATCTTAAATTATATTTATGGAGAGTCAAAACAAACTTTTAAATGCTAAAACGGCTTGCCATAGATGGCTGCCTCCGCCCACTTTTGAGCTTCAAAAACTATCTTCGGAACACTACGGGTGACGTCACGGACACTATGTCCATGTTTTTATACAGTCTATGGTCAAGACACAAACGTGCTACCATCAAGTTTTTCTAATTACGTTTATGCAAGCATCGTGAAAGTCTGTCTTTCAATTTCCTTCAGTGCATGCAGGTACTTTAGCTTGAAACCAGTCTTTATCAATTCATATTGCATGCTATTTTGTTAATTAATGTCTTCAATATTTCCAGATATACAAAGTTAAGTTTTAATGGACAACACTAGTTAGATCAATTCAGAACACTGTAACAAAACCTCTTATTGGGATTCAGAAATTATTTGACAGCTCAATGTCTTAGTATACAACACAAATGAAAAATGCAGAAAGAATAAAATACACCAATAAGCTTTATGAAACATCAATTTTCATTTCACTACTGTAAGTGATCTTACAAGAGAAGTAAAGTTCAAAAACAAAATAACTAAATATCAAATAGGTATGTAACATAATACAGTATAGTGTTGATTGCATACATAAATAAATTGGCCAAATTTCATTACAGTAGTATATAGTACAAAAATAAATTTCTTGGTCCTCCGACAAAACACTTTCTCAACCTCCCTTAGGCAGTTGTCTTTCAGACTCAGTTCTGCAAAAACACGGGTAACCAAAAAACAGGCAAAATTTGACAGTCACAAGTTTGAGTGTGTACAACATGTCATACTGTTTACTGGAGACCGAGTAGTGAAATGTCCCTTATATAAAGTACTGTTACTATAGTTACTATACTGTACTACAGTGTAAGCAGTGTAAAACCCTGTCGGTGATTCTTTCAGCTCTCTCTCCAGTGCTAGGATGCATTTTTAAAGCAGTCACCTGTGCTCCTGTTTATACTATCCTGAGATTCTGACTGCTGTGTAATCAGTTTTGCTACTGAATGCTTGCTTATGGATAATTGTGTGGTGTTTGAGTTCACACTGTGACAGTAGAGTTAATTATATAATGTGTTTTATGAATGAGAACATAAAATATCTGTAAAATGAGGCCAACTTTGGAGAAATCATTAAAAAATTGGAATGTGTGTGAGTATTTATGCATGCCAGTATAATATATAGCCTAGAATATTATAATTTCTAAACTACTAAGTTAATTAGTAAAACATGATTGAAGTGTTTACTCATGGTCCATTGCTTACATCTTCATCTTCACACAGATCTTCAACAGATCACTGGAGCTGTGCAAAGTCCCTTCATGCTTTTTGGCAATAAAGCTCATTCTGATTATGATTCTGATTACATTATGAATGCATCTTTAATTTAGAATTTGGTCTTTGGATTTAACTGTGTTAAAGCATTAAGCCATTTTCGATTTTGTTTTCTTGGGGACAAAACTCTTAAACTCATAAAAATGTTGTCTTTCCATTTGGATTATACTGCCATTATCTTATACAGTATATGGTGCTTACAAGAAAGCTGTGAATTGGTTGTTCCTGGTTGTTGTTTTACAATTTATAAGCATGTTTTCTAAATAACATTGTACGTTCATTGATTAGCTAATATTGAAGTGTCATTTTAATTTTACTCGTCATATTTTCGTCAACATTCTGAAGATTATGGAATATTCTGGGATTTGGAGGTGCTAAAATGTTATAACACACAGGTTTTTTCTTTATTTTTGCTCCGAACAAAACAAAACAAAAAACACTAATCTATAGCACTTAAGACATTTGACAAAATCACACACAGAACTGGCAAAAGGTACTGCAGAGGACACGGCCCAGACGTCGCGAGAAGGGGGGCGACGAAAGTGTCGCGCTTCTTATCACACGTCATTGGTCACGGCAAGGTACGTGACGATCGACACGACTGATTGCTTAGTTAGCAACGTAAGTGCTTAAATCACACCTCATACAAAAACTGCATATAGTACACCCCATACCCGAACGCCATATCTTTGCTATGTTGCCGCCATGCCTCCGCGCAGTTTGAGCGCAGCTCCGACATGTGACCGTGACGTCTAACGTCTCATATCTTACGTCTGACGCCTGAATACTATGGGATTTTGGCCAGACGGCTGGCGAGCGTATACACATTAGTTCTCCTCTCAGTTTGCTTAGCAATCAGCAAAAAGTGCATATATCACACCCCATAGCTAATAACAGATCGAGCTGGTGGCTGTTGTATATCAGCTTGTTAACTGCTTTTTTAATGGAGACGTTTGTTCTTAAGCAGTTTAATGAGATTAGAAAATTCCACGGACTTTAAAACATTTTCCCCCCTCTTTTACTAATATTTAGATTATATTTTGTTATCTACATACTAAGCTACTGTTAATAAATATGCCACAGCTTGTCAATGTAGCATTAATGGCTTGATAATGACTAATGGTTACTGCTGTGACATTACAGGGACTGATGAACACACTCTGCTCCTTATTCAGTGGAGAGTGGCTGATGAAGCCCTCTTCACTGGAAAGCCTAATGCTGCCATCAAAGGTTTTGAGTAAGTAAACTATTTATGTAAAATGTACTTTTATTCAGGTGCTGTTGACTCTGAACGTAGTAAATACTAACACTTCAAGCAAAGGTCTTACTGTCTTCTTTTTATGCTTGATTTCTGTGCATTTATTGTGACAGAGCAGGGACTTGAGGGCAACATTTCTGCCGCTCAAGTCAAAAGAAAGCGGGAGAACCTAAAACAAAAATATAAAGTAAGATTTTTTTTTTAAATTAGTTCACCCCCAAATTTGTATTAGTTCATGATTTGATCATGCTAATGTTTTTACATGTCATAGTAATGCAGTAATCTAATGAATGTAATTGACTGTCTTGATATTGCTTTTCAGACCTGGGATATCCAACAAAGATATGGAGGAACTTCCCCTTGTGGTCAGTGATGGCCTGCAGCTGAACAGAGTGGAACAGCTTCCTATTACAATAGCATGGGGCATCACTTGCTGGTGACTTGATCCGGATGTGGCATCAGCCTCCTCAAAATACTGATGACTGCCCTGCTGGTTCTGTGCACAATGTCATGCACCGTGGACTTTGGGATGTCGAAGCCCATGACACCAGCCTGTACGATGCTGCGTGGGCCAGCCAGTAGAGAAACACCAGCACCTCAACATCTTTTTCCCAGCCATGGTCAGAATCTGACTTCAAAACAGCGATGAGGGACATGATGGACTGTCGTGAAAGCCGGAGGTTTGGACGGAGGTCAGATCCATCTTCGAAATACAATCAAAGAATTGGCACAGCAGAATTCAGGCGGCAGTAGGTTGTAGGGCTCACAGTCTGTAAATGTGTGTGTGTGCGCATATATATATATATTTTAGAATATGTATATTATTTGTTTATGTTATTTATGTATATATTGTATCTATCTGTAATATTTATTTAGGCTATGTATATATTGTATGTATTCATTCTCTCTCTCTCTATTTATCTAATTGTGTATTATGTATTCATTATTTCATTTCCATTTAGTTTGTTGAAGTATGAAAATAACTAAAATCAAATAAAACTAAAAACTTAATAAAATACATATACAGACATAATAAATTCAGACACAATTGAACTAAAATTAAAATAAATAACAAATACAAATCAAATGACAGTAGTTTATCAGTAATCCTAAAAAATCTGTGATCTGCGAGCAGCTGACCAACGCCGCCTCTGAGCTGTTGATCCAAACAAAGTTAAAACGCCGATGAAAGCGGTGAGAATAACGTGAAACATTGCTGATGTTCGCGCAGTCGTGAGGGCTCTTTACATTTTGGCGCTCTTGTGAAGACGCATGTCACGTGACATCAACATGGCGGATGCTCAAATTCAAATGTAGTACCTACTAAGCAGTATGCCATATCGGACGCACCCTGTGACTGGGCAGGAGATGGCGGAAGGAAGTGAGGAGACAGGAAGTGAGATGGGATTTGAAGAAGAAGGCGGGAGAGATAGGAGTGTTTGGAATGTAATGCGATCAAGAAAAGGGAAAAAAATGAGAAAGTAACATCTAATCAGAGGCGGACAAGTACATTTACTTGAGTATTGTACTTAAGTACACTTTTTGAGTATCTGTACTTTACTTAGAGTATAATTTTTTCTGGGAACTTATGACTTTAACTTCACTACATTTGAAAGACAAATATTGTACTTTTCACTCCACTACATTTCTATCAAGGTTCTCGAAGTAGAAAGTCGTTACTCTGTAGCAGCTTTGAAAGTCAGTAGGTGATTTTTTTCTTCTCTAAAACGTGACTTTTTCTTTTTTTCAGACAGTTTATCAGTAATCACTCTTGTGGGGCTACATGAAGAGATTTCCCAGCATTTTTTGAACACTGACCAGTTGCAAATGTGATATTTATTTACAACAATTCAATAATAAGAAGTTAATATTGTGGTATATATTAGACACAATATTGTCTGATTTTGCTAAATTGTGTAGGTGAAAATATTACCTATAAAGCCACAGAAGAATGATTCAATTAACAAAGTCGATAAACAAATTGTTAGGCGAGGTTTAAAATGCAAAAGTATTAAGAAGTGGAGCGCTGCTGATTTTTTGTAGGAATAAAACGCAACAGGAGAAAGCCATAGAACTGAACAGAATAGATGGCAAGAGAATAAAGTGCATCTTGATTGGAAACAAGGCGTTGATTCGAGGAGTTATCACAGGAATACCGGTAAATGTCACGTCTCACGTCTTAGAATGGGTCACACTGGTTTAAATACAACATTTTACAGATTAGGAAAACATCCCACTGGATTATGCACTTATTGTAATGTACAAGAGACAGTGAAGCATATACTGTTAGACTGCAAAAAAGTATGAAGAAGATAGGGCAGAATTAAAGGCACAAATGGATGAACAAAGCATGACACTTGAGCATTTATTAGGGAAAGCATCTGGGAGAATACACAATTTATTAATGTTATTTTTGAAAAACACTGGGTTAAGTGAAAGAATTTAATAGTTTTTTTCCCCTCTCTCCACCTCTCCTTTGATGTCAGTCTAATACCCACACTCCAGTCTAGTAGGTGGCGGTAATGCACCTTTGAGATGAGTTGCCAACCGCCATTAAACCTGAAAGAGGAAGAAGAAGAAGATGAATACTATGGGATTTTGGCCAGACGGCTGGTGAGCGTATACACGTTAGTTCTACTCTCAGTTTGCTTAGCAATCAGCAAAAAGTGCATATATCACACCCCATAGCTACTCTCGTTGACTGCCATCTGTAGCTGTGCTTCAAGTCGAACGCACCTAACGAGTCTGCGCAGTGAACACACCAGTACGCCACAATATCATTATAAGCATCAATCAAGATGGCGGAGAAAAAATGAACATCTTGTTTTAACCACGGACACAAAAGTTATACCACAATTCATGCACAGTCATGTCAGCTGTGGTGTATTTAATGTTAAGAAACATATCAAAAGTATGTTTTGGGTTTATTGAGTTGTGTAAGTGCCATATGGCATAGCTTGTTATTCAGGAATATTGTATTTGCACGGAATCGGCCTGTGTTTCGTAGAAGCTAGTGAGAGCTTCACGGATTATGAAGAGCGTTTTGCACAGTTTGTGGAGGCCAACGGAATTGAAGAAGACAAGCGAAGGGCTGTTTTTCTGTCTGTGGTCGGTGCAAAGACCTTTTCATTGCTCACGGATTTATTGGCACCGAAAAGACCGTCAGAAACATCATTAGCCGACATTTTGAAAGCGCTCAGAGACTTCTATGTACTGTGGTAAATACTTTACAAAACTAGACTTAACTCAGGGGTACCAGCAAGTCGAGTTAGATCCACAATCTAAGCCATACTTGACAATTAACACTCCAAGAGGATTGTATCACATGAATCGTTTGCCCTATGGTGTGTCTAGTTCACCAGCGATTTTTCAACGCATTATGGATCAGACATTACAGGGTCTGCCAAATGTAATCTGTTATTTAGGTGACATTCTGATCACTGGTAAAAATGAAAGTGAGCATTGGAAGAATGTCAAACAGGTTAAAAAGGTTGCAAGACAGAGGTATCAGAGTGAATAGAGACAAATGTGCTTTCTGTCAACCTCAAGTAACCTATTTGGGGGCACCAAATTGATCAGGAAGGAGTCCATCCGGTTCCAGAGAAGGTCGAGGCTATTGAAAAAGCCCAGGCACCTAAAAATGTGACTGAGCTCAGAACATTTTTAGCGTTGCTTTCATACTACGACAAATTTATGGAAAACTTGTCAACCGTAATTAAACCCATGGCTGAACTATTACACAAGGACCAACCTTGGCAGTGGTCAAAGGCCTGTCAACAGTCGTTTAAAGAAGCTAAAAAGCTGTTGACGTCATCAAGTGTGTTAACACATTTCGATCCCCAACTTCCCATATTGCTAGCGTGTGATGCATCTGCATATGGAGTAGGGGCAGTGATTTCGCAGCGTATGCCAGATGGTATGGAAAAACCCACTGCATATGCATCGCGCACCCTTAGTAAGTCGGAAATAAACTATTCCCAAATTGAAAAGGAAGCCTCGGGTATAATTTTTGGGGTGATAATTTCTGCTCATCACCGATCACCAGCCTTTGGTTAGGAATTTCGGGCTGAAAATTGGAGTGCCTGCTTTAGCCGCCGCTAGGTTGCAGAGGTGGGCATTACTTTTATCGGCTTACCAATATGATATCAGATACAAGTCGTCTGCGGAACACGCAAATGCTGATGGCCTTTCGAGATTACATTTGGGGTTGATGGGACTTATGTGTAATGCAGAGTTCAAGGTCTCATTTATTGAGGTGATTCCGATACATCAAAAAGACATAAAAACAGAAACCAATAAAGACGAGGTTCTAATGAAAGTGAAGTCATTCACACTCAATGGTTGGCCAAAAAGAATGCCAGAGGAAAAACTAAAACCTTATTGGTAAAGACGTGACGAGATCACAGTAGAGGCTGATTGTCTATTGTGGGGGTTTCAGGTAATCGTACCGAACTACATGAGTCACATTTAGGGATGGTCAAGAGTAAGGCAGTAGCCAGAAGCCATTTTTGGTGGTCTAAATTGGATGAGAATATTGAAAATATGATTAGTCATTGCAAGGTATGTGCAATACATCAAAAGATGCCTAACACTATACCTGTACATCCTTGGAAATGACCTGAATATCCGTGGGAGAGAGTACATTCTGTGAAAAGGGGAAGTTTTTATTGGCCATTGATGCTTATTCACGCTGGCCAGAAATCAAGTTGATGACTAATACTATTGCCAAAGCAACCGTTGAGGTTATGCGAAGTATGTTTGCCAATTATGGATTACCTAAGGTAATTGTTTCAGATAATGGACCTCAATTTGTGGCCAGAGAGTTTGACACCTTTTTGGAAATGAATGGATTTAAACGTCAAATCGGCAGCGTACCATCCTGCCTCAAATAGTTTTGTCGAGAGACTGGTGCAAACCTTTAAACAGTCTTTGGAAAAACAAAAAGAGTTGGACATCACGCTTCAACATTGTATTGACAGGTTTTTATTCAGTTACAGAAATGCTCCCTTGACTGTGACGGGGAAACCTCCATCTGAATTGTTTCTGAAGAGATAAGTTAGAACAAGGTTGTCTCAGATACAACCTCAGTTCTCTTCTCAAATGCAAGAAAAACAAGTACAAAAATCTAAGTTAGCTCGTGTGAGAGTATTTTATCCACAACAAATGGTACTTGTGCAACAGTTCAGGGGAGGAGAGGAGAAGTGGAAGTTAGGAGAGATCGAAAGACCATTAGGTCCAGTTACTTATCTGGTCAGTGTGGAGGGAAAGTCCTACAAAAACCTGTAGATCAGTTAAGAGCAACAAAATTAATGACTACTGAACAGGATGCGGAAGCACTTTCAGCAGAGAATTTGTGTGACACTTCACGAATGATGTTGGAGGAAACTCCTGTGTTGAAAGAGAGAGAAAATTCAATGGTTGAACCCGATGTATCAAAAGAGTCTGTTCATACTCGACCCTGTCGGGTAAAAAGAGTTCCACAAAGGTTAAACCTGTAAAAAACAAAA